AGTTAGAAAGAGACCTTTCTCAGTTTCCTTACAGATATAAAGTCCTTTTCTTACACATTACTTCTTATGACAAAAACCGAAATAATTTTTTTTCTCGAAAACTATTAGAGATAAACCTATCCAACTTTAAATCATTGAAATCAGAAAAAGCCGAGCTTTTTAATGAGCTATTAATATATAGAGTGTCCTATTGAAAAAAACCAGACTTTGGTCAATATCTCGGAGTTGGGACCAACTAGAAAAAAACTAATAACGTCACTGAATTCTGCTTGAAAAAGTGCTTCTAGAAAGTTTTTACGGAAATCAATAATTTTCATAAACAAAAAAGTTATGATGGTTTCACATTATTGCTCAAAATCGAGAATCGCCCTCTAGCGGCTAAACGGTTGAAGATATCAAAATGCGGTTTGCACCAATCGAAAATTCATGAAATTTCAGCCTCGGAGTGGGGGGTTCATTTTTTTGTATCTTGCTCAGAAATTGATGTTTCCTATTAAAACCATCCAAATTTGGACACCCTGTACATACAGTCTGTTCATTTTGGAAACCGTTTGTATTGTATACAAAAACCGTCAGAGCTTTTCACCTCGCATTTCACACTGCAATTCCTACATTGACTTTATCCAAAAAATCGATTATATATGAAAGTATTAAAATGTACAATTATTTATCCAATGAGGCTTCCTACAATGAAACAGTTTAAAAGAGAAATTCGGCAGATTTTGATTGGTCTGGACGAATTTTATAATGATTTTATTTGACATGTAGCATGCTGCGTATGACACATTTTTTTAATTGTTCATATCATTAAAACCTAATAGTCATGTATTTTTGTTTTGTTCTGTTAAACTTTACACATTATGCTATTTACCATTTTGTTTGAGTCCTGATTTTTATTTTAACTGTTAATTTTGATTATTGATAATTTTGTTTGTAATGTATATGCTTTGTCAACGAGACTATTGTCTTTTAATAGGCCAAGGCACCTAGCGAAATAACAGCCATATTTTAACATAAAATTTAACAACAAACTATCGATGCAATATTGTTAAGGATCATTTATAGATGCTAAAAAACAAAAATGCAACATCTAATTACTTTTAGGGGATTTTATAAACAATATTTAGTGCAAAAACAGGGCTTTTTTTTGTTTATTTCACTGTATTTCGAAAACTAAGGATCGGGTGGTTTTGCTACTATGGCAATAGTTTTAGAGCATTGAACAAGCTTTAAAATGAGCCATCATACAACCCTGTAGGTCTTTTAGTCTTCGAGAAATGATTTTTTCCCCCCCAAAAAAGAGATTTTCGTAAAAAATTCCTAACTTTTTTAATTTTCATGCTAGACAATTAATTTTTTACACATATATAGTAGTAGATGAGGCAGGCTTTATTGAGCCCAAATTTGGGCCCGGTCCGATGGGTCGTTTCGGCATAATACCCTTGTCAAGCAAAATGGGGATGTTTCTAAGCAGTCTGTCGAATTGAGGATAATTTTTTTATATTTATTTTGAAAAGTCCACTGATAAGTCGAAATGCCAAACTATCGATCCTCTATCTCAGATTTTCCATTTAATTTGTTTATCGCAAGTAAAACGGCTTTGAACATGGCTGAAAATGGAAAAAATTGACGGGAATTCAAACGGAGTGACAGCGAGTTCCCCCCCCCCCACGCAAATTACATTTTTTTTCCATTTTCAGTGATGTTTGGAGCCGTTTTACTAGCGATAAAAAAATTAAATGGAAAATCTGAGATAGAGGATCGATAGTTTGGCATTTCGACTTATCAGTGGACTTTTCAAAATAAATATAAAAAAATTATCCTCAATTCGACAGACTGCTTTAGAAACATCTCCATTTTGCTTGACAAGGGTATTATGCCGAAACGACCCATCGGACCAGGCCCAAATTTGGGCTCAATAAAGCCTGCCTCATCTATTATGTATGTGTAAAAAATTAATTGTCTAGCATGAAAATTAAAAAAGTTAGGAATTTTTTACGAAAATCTCTTTTTTGGGGGGAAAAAAATCATTTCTCGAAGACTAAAAGACCTACAGGGTTGTATTATATGGTTCATTTTAAAGCTTGTTCAATGCTCTAAAACTATTGCCACAGTAGCAAAACCATCCGATCATCAGTTTTCGAAATACAGTGAAATAAACAAAAAAAAGCCCTATTTTTGCACTAAATATTGTTTATAAAATCCCCTAAAAGTAATTAGATGTTGCATTTTTGGTTTTTAGCATCTATAAATGATCCTTAACAATACTGCATCGATAGTTTGCTGTTAAATTTTATGTTACGAAAAAATTTATCTTCCCTGGCCTATAAGATAATAAAGCTTTTTTGAATTTATTTGATTTGATTTGAATTTGATAACTGGTGGACAGACTTTTAAGCTCTTGAGCTGCAAAAACAAAATAATTATAGTTCTCTATTATAGACATCGCTCGCCAGAACAGAAGGACATCACAACACATGCACATACATATTATAGGTATCACATCTTCAGCAAAAGCTACTCTGATAGAGATTTAAAATGTTGCAACTTGTTTACACTATTCTAATCAAAGTAAAATGTTAAAGCTTTGATTCAAGTGCAAATGCAATGATAAAAGCTTTTTGCTACTTAAACTCGCTTATCGCAACAGATTGTCCATAAAACCATCAAATGCTGAGTGAATTCGCTCGTGAAATCAAGCTCTGGCCCCTTTGCGAAGTGGCTTTGCCTCTCCTTCAATACTTTCGGTTAAAAATAAATTTTTGCGCACGCCAAAAGCAACATTATCAAACGGTTTTTTTTAATGTTTTTCATTAAACTCTGGAATTTTTCGTAGTTTGATTTATAGAGTATTGGAATAAAATTATAAAATGGAACGTATGGATAGAATTTTTGTTACAAATTGACCAATGTTTTTCCACAAATATTTTCTGCACTAGATTCAACAAAAAGTACGTTTAGTGGATTGGAAATTGGAGCACGTAAATTGACGACCCGATAAACCAAATAATAATGTTCTCCTACCAAAATCTCTTTCGAAATGGTGCTTGTAATCGCTGAGTAAACTTTGTGGGCTCTGATAAGAGAATTAACAGCTTGCTGTTGATTTGCCTATTGTTAACGCAACAGGAACTGAAATACCTAATGATAGGCCAGGATTTAAATTATATCATTGAATTGAATGCAAATTTTGTTTGATAATATCCTTGTTACTTGGGTAATTAAGTAAAATGGAATTGGTAATCAATTTTAATAGTTATTTATGATATAAGTGTTAAAAGTACATTTTTAAGGCACGCATGTGAAAGTTTGCAGAATGAGCGAAGCGAATTCTGCAATTCACATAAGTGCCTTAAAAATACTTTTAACACAAATATCATACAATATTTTTTCTACAAACGGCAATAAAAAGCAATAACCACTAACAAATTGGATTTTTAAATGAATAATAAATTGGAAGCATGTTTCCTACATAAAATTCTTGAATTTGACATTTGTCAAAAAATCCATACAACCAGCACCTTGTTTTACAGGTAACGAAATGTCTTGTCAGTTTCTTGAAAGTATGTCGTGGTCAGGAATGCTTTTTGCTAAAAATGCAACAAAATACAGAAGAAAAAGAGAGTTGCATCGATCCTTCGAAAAATATAGATGAGGCGGCGAATCAGGCTACCTCAGTTGTTCAAATTTCACCATTATTATCAATGTAAATAACTGAAAATACAAACTTTTTTTGACGTCCGCTCCCAAAATTTGATGTTTCACTTTTAACACTAGTGCTATAAAGACTTTATGGCACTAGTGCGATAAAGTAACATTTTTAATGCTTCGGGGCGGTGTTAAAAATTGCATTTTTAACACGTTTGTAGAAAATAGTTATTTACCTAACAAAGGTGGAAGGTGATGCTTTACCGCACGCAGCAGCAGAAAGGGCGGTAAAGGCACTTTCCGCATGTGTTGGGTTCAAAATTTCTAAAAGAGAAGGTATTTTGATAATAAATACCCAAGTCTACTTCACGGCGTGCTTGTATTATTGGCTTTGATTTGATGATGATTTGAAATAATTTTAATTATTCTCTTTGCAGAAACTCGTAGGTTATCGAGGCAAAAATATACTAAGAAGTGCACTGAGCTAGTCACGAATATAGTCCCATAATGTTTTAGATACAATGATACAATAGCAAAAAATATATTGGGTTTTTGATTTCCGATTGTATATTCTTTCCAAAATGTTGGACAATAACAATCTACTATTAGGTCTAGACCAATAGCCAAAGCCACTTGATGTGAAACCTATTTGGCTCTAGAATAAGATAAGGCTCTTTTTCTCACACCTATGGAGATAAGCATTCTCATTTATCTTCATCAACAAACCAATTCATACTGCACTGATCAATCTGATCTAATGGAGAATCTTCTGAACCCGCTTCAGGTCCAAAAAAATATGAACCTACCCATTTAAATTCCTCTAACAGTTGCTCGAAAATAGCAACCAAGGTAGCCGCTGCAATCATGACAGCACATTTAATCAGCCCAACTGAGCGTCAAGTGTTTAATTAATACTACATGAGAACGTCTTGTGATGTTTAATTACTTACAATCTACGCTCCTAATTAAGCTAAACTATTTTGGTGTATTATTATCAGTCTCGCTCGGGTCAGGACATGAACTACTGAGTTAACCTGGATTTCACTTACCTATATACCGATCTATTAATACGTCTATTTAATTTTGAATTAAGGTGACATAGTTTTTATAGAAAAGCTTTTTTTTCTTTGTTTTAAAATTTGTGCCTGTAAAAACTATTAAGCTTCAAAAAGAACAGGAAAGTTTTTTCAGAATTTGAAGGGAATTTGCCACAGTTTTCGATCATTTCGGAGTCTTCCCAGTAACGTAAACTTAGAGTTTACTGGTAGGTACTCGGGTAGGTACTTATTTCACTATAATTACTTTCCGTAATAATAACATAATATTCTCTTTAGTATCAACTATCTACTTACCACTCACATAATGCAGCAATAGCGCACAGATAGGGTAGATGGCAGGACTGTAGACAATATCGGGGCATGCGTAGCCCAACACGCTAATAACGCGATCGGCGCACGCGCGTCCCGACCTAGTCAGATGGTAAGCATGACAGCGAGAGGGTTCTACAAAGGGCGGCAGCCCGACAGGCCGTTCGGGCAATTCCGCCGAGCCGAAGACCTGCACCACCATGTCCCAGTAGAACCCGTCGCCCGAGACACCGCCCGCTTTCGCGTGCTGTGTACATAATGTGGGCCATAATTCTCTGAAAGCGAACATCAAAGTTTTAGACAACAAAAACCAGGTTTAAAAAATCAACAACTAACCTCCTGATTTGATGATTAGCAGGCCACGCGTTCGCCCTCAATAGTTGTTTCACCTCCTGTACCTTCCCAGTGTGTAATAGTATCCGTACGTCCGTTAGAGGTCGTAAAGGACGTGCTGTAGGACTGGGTGGTACGCTGACCACGCCCGTAGAATCGACTAGGCCTGTGAAAGAGGGCGTAGTGACAGCAGCACCACCATTAAGGGATCCGGGTGTGATAGCGGGGCCTGCTGCCCCGTCAGCGATCAGCATTGTGGGAGATGGAGCGGGCGTAGCCTGCGAGGACGCCGAATGGCCTATGTTAGGTCTTGGAACATTGTGAGGTCACCTGCTGGAGAAAAAATAAAATAATTGAAAAAACTGAAAAAGTCCAATAAGCTCATAATGAACATAAATTAAATAATGTAACGAAATCGCATGGGTGCCAAGTGGGTGATATTGTTTACGTTCACCAATCACCACCCCAGCGTAAGTATTCAGGCATTCTATTGTGTTAAGTGAGTAAACAAGCATTTACAGATTCCTGGGAAATCTTGAATTAAATGTGAATAAGAGTCGAGTAAGTGGCTGTGTTTTTCAGCTTTGTCCACAAAATTGTAAAATTTTCTGACAATAAAGCAAATTCTTTCTTTCTTTCTTTCTCGTCAAAGAATCAGGAGAATCAAAGTAGAGTACTTTGTGCCAATATATTAAATATAATCTCAGCAGAGTGCTTTCGGCCTCCCGGCCCTCCTCATTGCTAACTGAAACGGGAGAACAACAGGCCCGTTAGAAAGTTCCGAGGAAAGTTTTGTCCCCTGAAGCGGTGAGGTTGTATACATCAGAAGCAGCAACGAACCAAATTTTGAGAAGAGAAGATTGTATTCACTTGTCAGTTAAAGTGCACAGGAACCACTGAATTTATTTATTTTTTTATTATACGGGATAACCCCATTAACAGCAAAATTACAACAAAAAATAATAAATTGGTTAGGTATATACATTATAAAACCTGCAGCAAGTAAGCGTTAACACTAAGAGAAAAACAAGAAACAACAAAATTTAAACTTAACGAAAAACAATCTAAGCTACCCAGAAAAGAAAAAAATAAATATAAGTACACATACTTAAGGAGAAAAAAAAAAAACAAAAATAAAATAGATTAACTATCAATCAACAAAAACAAAATTAATTAAAGTAATACTGCTCCACACCATTATTTTCATAACAAAACTGCCCTTTTAAAAATCTCTATCGATACATTAAAGACATCAATATCATGACAATTAATTAAAGACATATACCTATGTAAAGGGCTGTTAACCCCATATGTTGTCCTATGGAAAGGAATATGGAACACATTATTGTTGCGTAGACCCTGATAATATGGTACATTTAAACCTACAAAATTCAAGAGATCTGGGCTGTCAATCAAGCCATTTACAATTTTATAAATAAAAACGGCACCAAACACATCACGGCGATTTCCCAAAGGACTTAGGGATAGTTGACGCTCAATATTATCGTAGTCATGGTCAATGATTGTAGGAAAATTATACCTAAAAGCACATATTCTCAAAAATTTATGTTGCACTCTTTCCAATAATGCAGAGTGAACATGAAAAAAGGGAGACCACACAACTGAACCATACTCTAGCCCTGACCGCACTAAAGAGCAGTAAACAAGCCTCACTGATTCAACAGAAAAATACCTGCAGTTTCTATTAATAAAACCTAACATTTTTGACCCCCTTATACTTATTGAGATAACATGTTCAACAAATGACAATTTCTCATCGAATATAACGCCTAGATCCGCAACGGATGATACATACTTAAGTTGTTGACCTTCTATTGTATAATCTGTTTCGATTCTGTTTGGTTTCCTTGTGAAACTTATAAAGCAACATTTCTTTACATTCAAAAATAATTTGTTTGACACGCACCATTCTATCACACGATCTAAATCTTCTTGCAGCATTTGCTGGTCGCAAATGGTCTCAATAGTTTTCCAAAATTTAATATCGTCTGCAAATAACAAGCATAAACTATATAAAAAACAATCAACAATGTCATTAACAAAAATATTAAATAGCAGTGGTGAACAATGTCCACCCTGCGGTACTCCTGATGTAACATAGATAATATCAGAGAAAAAACTGCCAATCTTAACCTGTTGAACACGGCCCCTCAAAGAACTCTCAAACCATAGAACAAGACCAAAGTTGAAACCAAACTTTTGTAGTTTTTGAAGCAATATATGATGATCAACTCGATCAAAAGCTTTCGAGAAGTCTGTGTAAATCGCGTCTATTTGCTTCCTGTTCTCCATGCTAAGTAAAATATCGGACTGATAAGTTATGAGGTTGGTTGCAGTTGACCTGCCCTCTGAGAAGCCATGCTGTTTTTGAGAAATAAGACCTTTGCACTGCCAATGCAATTGTTTACTAACGAGACAGTCAAACAGTTTAGGTATAGCTGATTGGATAAATATACTATGATAGCTCTCCACATTGTCATTTTTATCACTCTTAAATATTGGAACAATGTGACTAACTTTCGATTTATCAGGAAATGTAGATAACTTCAAAGACTTATTATATAGTAAATGCAAAGGCAGCACAATGGTACAGACACATTGTTTTAATAGAAAATTTGGTATTCCATCGGGTCCAGAAGTAAGTTTATTTGGCAGTTTGCTAATCTCAATGAAGATATCAGTTTTTGAAATTTCAGAATAATTAATGTTTGTACTCAAATTGTTATCATTAAAGTCTGAAGAAAGATCGGTGGAAGATGTGTTTTTCGTGTAAACAGTTTGGAAGAATTCCTTGAAGAGATTGGCTATGTCCTGGCCATTATGAGCAGACTGGGCACCATAAGAAAAAGCACTAGGCAAACTATGACTTGACCTCTTATCTTTAATATACTTCCAAAAAGACTTAGGGTCTTCCTTCAGTTTGAGATAGATACCTATGTATATACTATTCGAAAAGGTGTATACTGAGACACGTTTCGAGTGAACCTAATTTATAATAATTAGGAAATAATGACATGTCGCCGCTTTATTTAATTCAATACTCGGCAAAACATAATAGTAGATTATACCACGAGTCAATAATGATAGCTATTATTCCCGAGGATTATTACGAACTGAGCCGCGTTAGCGGCGAGGGAGTAACATTCCGAGGGAATAATAGCCATTATTGCGAGTAGTATACTCTACTTTATTTACGACAAATTAATTTATTTGAGATTTTCAATGAACAAATTTCATCCGTCTCATAATTTTCAATACGAATCCACAAGCACTACATGTTTGACACTGACACTTTTGTGGAATAATGACCGTTAATCCCGCTACTCGTCATTAATCCCTGGAGGAATAACATATGTCATTATACTGCCAAAATCACAAATATAATACGCACATTATACATTAGTCGTAAATAAATTATTTTATTTGCAACCATATATGTAATCTTGACATTACTGACTTTTTAAAAATTTGGAGGTGTCACTTTACCTGTGTCACTTCCCTCTTCGATTTCCCTCACCGATTTCCCTATTCGACTTCCCTCACCGATTTCCCTCACTCTAATTTATTTACCTTCGCTGACAACAATGACAACTAACTTTATTTTTTTAAATGAAAACACCAATTTTTTATTTCATTTTCAAATTCTACGTTAAATTATTATTATTATTAGACATTAGACATTATATTACGTAATGTTATATACATGTTCAAATTTTGTATCTTAATGGTGACAGGTTTATGATATGATTAATAACAAGTATATCCAGCACCTAGATGACTTAACATCCGTATGTGCCATTTGAATTTAATTTATTTGTAAGTAAATAATAATATGATAATTATTGTGTATTGTTTGTCAACAGCAAACAACATCACAATATTAATCCTAAAAAAAGTTCATTTTATTTTCATAATGTAAGAACTAGCCTAATCTACTCCTAAATTAAAAACTAAACTAACATAGCCTTCCCATCAAGGAAAGGAGAATAAACTCCCAAGAGGTTCAATCAAAACAGAATCATAAATTGCTGGAGATTCCTGAAAATATATCTCTTACATTCAGCACAGAATTTCTTATGGTTCTTAATAAGTTTTATGCTACCAGGAAGCAAGTTATAACATCTTGGAGCCAAATAGTTTATGAAGCGTAAATTGATATTTCTATTACTATTTGGAATAGCCAAGTGTCTGTTGACTTTAGTCCTAGTAGCATAAGCATGGTCTACATAGTTTCTTAAACAATTTTTTTTATGTACAAATGAGCATATATTAAGAATATAGAGGGAACGAACACAGATAATGTCCTCAGAAAAGAGTAAATGAGTTGGGTATCGCCTTTCTTTTTTGAAGATAATTTTTAAAATATATTTTTGAATAATTTCCAACTAATGTAAGGAATTTCTATAAAGGCCACCCCACACAACCACACCATATCTGAGTAGTGATTCTACAAGTGCCCTATATACACATATCAACAGCTTTGTACATAGTATTTCCCTTAAGCCATAAAATTTTCTGATAAGTGCTCTAATGTTATTAGTTACTTTGGAGACATGTTCTTTCCATTTAAGATTTTTATCTATTATGATTCCTAAATATTTTGTAGATGAAACCTCGTTTATTTCTTTGTCAAAGCCTTCAACTAGAATGTTGGTAAAAGGTGGGCGATTAGCAGCTGTTAAGGAAAACGCAATGTAATTAGTTTTATCTATATTTAGGGTGAGTTTGAATGAATCAAGCCAATTTTTGACTTTAGAGATACCCAACATTGCTAGATTTTTTACTTCGTCCCAGGATTGTGCTCTGAAGACAATAACAGTGTCATCCGCATAGGATATTACAAGACCGTTCTCTATTGTTAAGTTCGTTAAGGAATTTATATAGGTTATGAAGAGTAATGGACCAAGGACAGTGCCTTGAGGTATACCAATCTTCACAGATAGAGGTTCACTGTAAGTGTCCTGAATCTTAACGACCTGGCTTCTGTCACGAAGATAACTAACAATGAGAACATGTCAGGTAAAAACGTCAAAACAGTGAATGACACATTTTGGCATGTTTGTTTTATTTTTTTAATATTAAAAAAATTAAATGACTGATCATAATTCATGGTGTGCTTGCAAATAACATAGTATACAAACCTCGGAAGAAAATTTTCATTTCTGTCTCGAGATTAAAAGTCAATCTCGATGCTTCGCGTCTCGATTGACTATATAAATCTCTCGACAGTAATGAAACACTTTCCTACTCGGTATGTAATATACTATTATTTGCAATCATATATGTAATCTTGTCATTACTGACTTTTTAAAAATTTGGAAGTGACACTTTACCTGTGTCACTTCCCTCTTCGATTTCCCTCACCGATTTCCCTATTCGACTTCCCTCACCGATTTTCCTCACTCTAATTTATTTACCTTTGCTGGCAACAATGAGAACATGTCAGGTAAAAACGTCAAAGCAGTGAATGACACATTTTGGCATGTTTGTTTTATTTTTTTATTATTAAAAAAATTAAATGACTACTTAATCATAATTAATGGTGTGCTTGCAAATAAAATAGTATACAAACCTCGGAGGAAAGTTTTCATTTCTGTCTCGAGATTAATAGTCAATCTCGACGCTTCGCGTCTCGATTGACTATATAAATCTCTTGACAGTAATGAAACACTTCCCTACTCGGTATGTAATATACTATTTTCTCCAAACGTCAAAAAAACGTCACTTTGTTAACCCCTGTTAAGATGTCAGAAATTTAATTTCTATGCTGCTGGGTAAATCTAGCGGATTAACACCTGTCGAGGAGGTAGAAGTTTAATTTCTATGCTGCTTGGCAACCCCAGCGACAGCAAAAGTACTTTTTTGTGCTACCCATTCTGTAAGTTGACTTTTTTGACCTACGTCCATGAACTGTAAGTGTCACTTACAGTCCGGGTAAAAAAAGTTACTTTTTTGACCGGGCCAAAAAAGCTACTTTTTTGACCGGGTCAAAAAAGTGTTGATATGAAAGGTGAAAATTGTTTGGTTCATATGTCTGTCAAAATAATGTCACAAAAAAACTCGACTTCCCAAATAGAAAACCCAAAACAAATTAAGGATACAATTTTATTGAAACAAATGGAAAATACCTAGACGTCAAAAAGTTTAAATTAGCAGAAACAGATAGGTAATAATATAAATAGTTATATTTGCGAAGACGATCCCAAACTAACCCTGAACGCTAAGGTAAGAATCACACCATAAAAAGCCATTAATATTGTTTCATATCAATGGCTTTTCATGATGTGATTCTTTCCTTAGCGTTCAGGATCAGTTTGGGAACTTCTTCGCGAACAAAGCAAATTCATGATATTTGTTATCTTGAATGTACAGTAGCACAAAAAATATCATATGCACCTCGACTTGTAGCGTGTACTTTTTTGGCCTCAAATGCTTGCAAACCTCGGCCCTACGGGCCTCGGCTTGCAAACTGCATCCTCGGCCAAAAAAGTAACACTTACAAGCCTTGGTACATAAATAACTATTAGTGCTGCTCGTACTTTTACTGCCGCTCAACCATCCACTTGCCCCCGAGCTTACCCCATTAGTTTGGAGAAAAAATAGCGTGTTGCATACTGAGTAGAAGCACTTTTTTGTGCTTCAGCAGTACTGCAAGCCTCACTACTTCAGGAAAGAGCGCAGCACCACCATTTGCGTTTTGAACCTTGTCACGCAAATACAGGATGCTTTTGAGACCCGCAAGTACCTATCCAGTGCTTTTTGCGACCTAAGCAAGGCCTTCGATTGTGTCTCCCACAAGATACTTATTGAAAAACTAAAAAAATACAACTTCAGCGATGATAGCGTTTCAATGGTGTGCAACTACTTATCGAACAGAACACAAAGAGTAACAATAGGTGGGGTAGAGTCCGCAGAAGGGAGGGTGACAATAGGAGTACCACAAGGATCCATTCTTGGGCCCCTTTTATTTATAATTTACATAAACGACCTACCAAATGTGGACCCTGAAAGTGCGTACACCCTCTTTGCGGACGATACCACAATATGTTGCAATAAACAAGAACTAACAGAGGCTGTGGAAGCTCTGGGGGAGGCACAATCGAGGGCTGAGAGCTGGTTCGCAGCGAATGGGCTTTTCCTGAATGTAGACAAGACACAGAGGACGGTTTTCTCAACAAGACAGCTTCCTGAAGGTGATGAGGGTGAGAGTGTAAAATTCCTGGGAGTATTTCTGGACCCTAGATTGCACTGGAGTCCTCACACAAACTCCTTAATGAGCCGATTAGCCCCCAATGTGTTCCTGCTGCGCAGACTCTCTGAATGTGTCTCACGGCCCACTCTAAGGCATGCCTACTTCGCACTATGCCAAGCCCATATAAACTACGCGATTCTAGCTTGGGGCCACAGCGCAGGGGCGAAGGATGTCTTTCGATTGCAGAGGAGAGCGGTGAGGGTGGTTGCTGGTCTGTCTTATCGAGCAGATTGCCGTCATGCCTTCAGGTCTCTTGGCTTTTTAACATTGCCCTCGCTCTTCATCCTAGAGAATCTCCTGTATATTAAAACCCACCCTGACCAGTACCAAAGGCATGAGGACCTGCACACGTATGATACGCGTGGCAGAAATAACTTGGTGCCCTCCTATAGGCGGCTACAGAGGTGTCGAGATGGGCCGAGCAGTCTCAGCAATCACTTTTTCAATAAACTACCTAGTGCTATAAAGAGTTTACCAATAAAAGTATTTAAAAAAAAGATCAAAGATTTCCTCATCAGTCAAGCATTTTTTGATATTTCTGATTTCTTAAGTTTGGACTGTGATATTACCCAATTTTAAAGTGCCTTCGTAAATATCTGTATATTTTTTATTTCTTTATTTCAGTAGGTTACATATTTTAAAGTGTTGTAGTTGTTAAACATCTGTATATTTTTTATTTTTTTTTATTTCGGCAAGTTGCGTATTGTCCTAATGATTTCAAACTACTTATTTGTATTTTATGTTCAAATTTATTTGATCTTTGTGTTTCATATTTGAATTTGTATCTGTGTCTATATCTATATTTGTATCATCTTGTTATTTTATTGATTGTAATGAATAGTACCATAGCACATTATTTTGCTGTGAGCCTTATATTATTATTGACTTGTGTAAGCACACTGTGTAAAAACACCAATAAAGAATTTGAATTTGAATTTGAGAATTTGACTACGTTCGGCTCGCAAACCTACTGCTTCAGCACAAAAAACTAAAGCTTCTACTCCTAATACAACAATATACTATTTTCTCCAAACGTCAGAAAAACGTCACTTTGTCAACCCCTGTCAAGATGTCAGAAATTTGATTTCTATGCTGCTAGGCAAATTCAGCGGGCTTACACCTGTCGAGGTGGTAGAAATTAAATTTTTATGCTGCTTAGCAACCCCAGCGGCAGCAAAAGTACTTTTAGTGCCGCTCGTACTTTTACTGCCGCTCAACCATTCACTTGCCCTCGAGCTTATGCCATTCATTTGGAGAAAAAATAGCGTGTTGCATACGGAGTAGAAGCACTACCGCTTCAGCACAAAAAAGTGAAGCTTCTACTCCTTATACAACAATATACTATTTTTTCTTACTAAATTAGCACTAAATAGGCCCGAATTTAGTACTCTAGTTTTTCTGATGTGTGCTATTTTCGTTGTGCTAATTTAAGGAACCACAATAATGCGACGTACGTTTTTGTAATCAAAGCAATCTTTGATTGGATTTTTTTTTGAAGACCCGTTACCTTGTATTTGTTATTGTGTCTCGAGTCTCATCATTCCAAATTTTGTTGCAATATACTGAGTGATTTAAAAGTTAGAGAGGGGAGGGGGGGCGATGGACATTATGTCCTCACTGTATAAGTAGTTTTTCAGATTTGAAGTGAGAGGGAAGGGAACTGACCTTTTTTGAAAACTAAAAACTAAAAACGGTAGATAAGTAGGTACCTACTGCCTATATGGATATTACTTATCTCAGGTGTGGACGATGTGGTCCACAATAAAAAGTTAAAAACTGTAGTGTAGGTAAGTAGGTGGCTCGGTAGGTGGTATTTAATTTTTAAATTAAATCCCTATTCCTCGTTTAATTGGATTCCTTGCCCTCACAGGTGGGCAGTCTAGGTGATTTTATATACTTACTTATCTGGCATAAATCGACTTGATATAAAAGGGTGGAGTTAAAGTTAATCGACTAAAATTTGCTCTGGATAGTAGGATTACAAAGAAATCTAAGTTCGGTGTAAGCTTGGCTGTCACCTCGGTTGTCACCTACACGTACAATCTACAAGAATCATCACAACCTCTTGCGCTGAATTTTGCATTACAGACTATAGTGAATTAATCAATTAAATTGATAGGTTGAGGTAAGTACTAAATCGAACTCGAAATCAAAGCCTCGCATAGGCAAATTCTTGGGCAAATTAAGTACTGAAAATAATGGGAATCTGGAATCCTCGCTGGAATCAAAGAGTAGGTAACTCAAATACAAACAAGTTGTTGAACAAAGTGCTGCTACTAGAATTGTCAGAATGGTGAAGTAACAAGTTACATCTCTGCTCTAGGTATACAGTTTCCAAATAAATTAATACTTACACTTCTTAAATGACTCAATTGTGGTTGGATTGAACCTCTGGCTTTTGAACGGTCATTGGAACTCCTTAGAATCAATAGGATCAGCACAAAGCTGGTCTTCTTAATATTTTTCACTGAACACTCGATTTTCCAGCACTAAAAGGTAAACAAGACAATTTGGGTCAATTTCGCACCAACTATACGTCCGTCAAACGAATACGAAACTACACTTCCGATGGTTATGGTCCACTTAGTGCCTTTACAAACAAGAGAAAAAGTCCCGAGGCTCTAGGACCGCTCTACACGGTGTACTAAAAGTGGAAAAAGTAGGAAGGAACACTAGGAACTCACACACTCGTATCCATGGATCCTGATTGTCAATGCGCGATTAAAGCCACTCCCATTTTAGCATTTCGCTCCTCTACCTCTCTATTCTGTACTTGCCTTTTGCCTCATTAAAAAAAAAAACAAACAATTCGCGGTTTAATAATTAATTTAAATTGTTGAATTTTAGCTCTCCTTGTAATCAGAAGTAGCTGGCAAGTCTATATTTATTTACATACATGCACGTGACGACGACCACGAACTCGCGAACAAGTGAGCATATTATATTTATTTGTTGTGAGTTGCAATGTTATATTGGATTGGTTAGGATATCCTTTAATTTGATTTGAGGACAGTGGGTAGGTATAATAATATAAATAAAAAAATATTCGAAGGGAACAGCTGACTGCATTATGTACTTTTGTGTTTCTTTGCTAATGTTAGGCAACCAGTTATACATACGTTCTTACCAGTGCAGTGGCGTGGGAATGCACGGGTGGAACGAGCTTCTGTATTGACGACTGTTTCTTACAGGCAAACGGCAGCTTTGTTCGGGGTTGAAAATAAAACGGTTTAAAACAATCGCACAGTTTATAAATCAACAAAATGACACAACGGCTCCGCTATCACAAATTTCAATAACAAACTGTGCGATTTATGACAACATTCAGGTCTCGTATTGTCTGGGTTCGTGTCTCTCTTTATCCGGGATTTTCCTTTCCTACTGCTCGCCTCCAGAAATCCATTCCGGTTCAGGGTAGCTCATAAAAGTTAAAAAGTTTTTTAATTTTTAGTCTTGTTTTTAAAGCTGGGTTTATACAGGAAATAAAATAACATAAAATAAGAAATAAAATTAAATTAAAAGATGGCCTTATGAGAACCCATGGTGGCGTTTATACACAAAAATAAAATAAGATAAGAAATAAGCAAAAATAAAAAGTTGGTTAACTTTTAACTTCTTATTTTATTTTATGTGAAAATGCTATTTGCGCATGTCACGACGTCGATTAGATTAGACCGATGACAGTTCAGGCGCGTGCTGATTGGTTCAAAATAATTCTAATTTAATAAGGAATGCATTGCGCTCTTAGTTTCAACATAACTTTTTAGCAGTTGAAGTTATATCAAATTTCTTTTTTCCATTCGATTTATAATATAGAGAAGAATGGCGCTATCTTTTTAGAAATCCGGTAATAGAAACGAGTTTTCCAAAAATTACAAAAATGTAATTCAAACTGGAAAAAAACGAGAAAATTAATCAATTTATGGTGTCTTTTTTAATTAGCGCCAATCTTATGTGTGTTAGCAATACAATAGCACAAACCAGAATCCCAAAAATTATCTAGTTTTTTTTGTAGAAATTTAATTAATTCTTCTTGTCATTTTGCCTGTCTCTGTTATACCCGCAGCAAACCCTATGGCTCTCTCCTCCGCCTGTTTTGCGATAAATTTTAAATCGCTATCATAAAGGATCCAACGCGAACTGGCCCAACAGTAGCCCAATGCAATAATCGCGATGAACCGCGCAGGTTTCTGCGCGATACTGTTTCTCGTACAAGAAATAAGTGAAGAGATATAAAATTAGTGGAGTTCCCTCGTACGAAATTTTGGAAGAAAACGCCAAATTGGGTTACAAGCATGAAATTTGGCATAATTGTCAGGAAACACATTTTAAGAGATCTGACCCGACTAGCCAGGCTCTACGACCCTCAAGACTCCCAATTTTGAATTTTTTTTCAAAATGGCGGACAAGAATTTCCTCAATTTCAAAATTAATTTACTTGGGCATGATTATACACTTTATTATATAATTTGAGGTCAAGGAATTCAAAAAAAATATTTTCAAAATGATATGACCTTCAGTAACCTTGAAAATTGCAGTTTAATTCAATTTTAAAATAATTTTAATAAAACATGTTTGAAACCGCCAAAAGAAGGGGGTTAAAAATCAAAAATGATTGCTTAGCATAACATGAAAATTAAAATGTTTTATCGAAGACGAAAAGTTTCTTTTACAATAGATCAGCGCTGGCTGATGCGGTAGTACTAAGATACACGAAGCCATGTCATTACCTTATTTATCACAGAAATGTTTCAAAGTATCATATGAAGGATACAAAATCTTTTTTTTTCAGAAAAATAAGGTATTGCCATGGCTCCGTGGCACCGTGGAACATCTCACCAGCCGCTTCAACAGATACTGCAAACTATATACGGATCGTTGGTTTTGACATTCGCCATTGCAGTTAGTACATGCGGGTGTACAAGGTAGACCTGCTTTCTGACACGTACATCTGTTGGTCTCACTTTGACTTTTACATCCACACTTCTCTAATACTCTAAGAGCTCACCAAATTTGTGCTAGCTGGCTCCCAGCGGTTGTTGGTTAAATTCAAACCCCATCCTCCAGGTGGTGGAACGGATTCACCGGGTGACAGCGATCGACCCCATATTTGACCGGCTTGATACGCAGCTCTTCTGTAGTCTTCCATTAGACTGTATTGTGACGGTGGACACATGGATATTGGTCGTTCTCCACTACGAAACTGCACCTTTCTCAATTTATTAACTTTTTCAACAGATCAGTGGTGGCTGGTGCGGTAGTGGTAAGGTACATGAAGCAATGTCATTACCTTATTTTTCATAGAAATGTTCCAAAGTATCGTATGAAGGTTAGGTTATAAAACCTATTTTTCAGGTTTTGACATTCGCCCTTGCAGTTAGTATATGCGGCCGTACTATAGCTTTCCTATACAAACATCTGTTAGGTTAGTTTCACATTGACCTTTACAGCCACACTTCTCTAATCCTCTTAAAGCTCAATAAATTTGTGGTAGCTGGCTCCCAGCGGTTGTTTGTTAAATTCCAACCCCATCCTTCAGATAAATGATCGTTCTATCCTACAAAACTGCACCTTTCTCAATTCATTAACTTTTTCAAGTTTGCTTCTTGCATCATAGTGTAATAATAAATTCCTTTAAAATTTTGAATATATTTTGTGGTATATCTGTGGTACTATATTAAAGATAAACAATGGAAAGCCAGGGTTGCCTTCAGATAATCTTCCCATGCTTTTTATGCTGTTTTTTCCTTTCAATGCTAAAAAGGTAGTAATGTCGCACCCCGTAAAAGCGACGCAGTGCTTACGATTTTTCCCAAATGATTTGCAACGTTATGAGCTGCAATATATCTTTGTGATTTGCTAACCCCATATAGATACCATAATTCCTCAAGGCCTGAGGAGTTCAATATATAAAAAAAATCATATTCCTATTATTGCAGCTGTGTCCGAGAATCGTACTGAAACGGATTTAGCTCCATTTTGGACCAAATGTTTAACATAATGTCAAAACCAGTCTGGATGATGGACTATCTTGTACCGACATGGAGGAAGCAGATGAAAGAATGTTTCTACATGTTGAGTCCTTGACCCTTGAGGAATTATGGTAGCTTGTATATGAGGTTAACAAATCACAAAGATATATTGCAGCTCATAACATTGCAAATCATTTATTGGGACTTGAAAACTCTTTAGCATTGCGTGGCTTTTATGCTTTTAGGGGGTGCGAAACTACTTCCTTCTTTGCATTCAAAAAAAAAACAGAGAATGGAAAGCACATGGAAAAATTATCCAGAGGCAACCCTGCCCATCCATCATTTATCTCTAATGGATAGTAGCACAGATAAAGCACAAAAAATATTCAAAATTTTAGAGAAATTCACTATACCAGTATATGATGCAAAAAGCAAACTTGAAAAAGTTAATAAATTGAGAAAGATGCAGTTTCGTAGTGGAGAACGACCAATAGCCATGTGTTCACCGTCACAATAAGACAGTTTAATGGAAGACTACAGAAGAGCTGCGTATCGAGCCGGTCAAATATGGGGTCGGGGTCGAGGCTGTCACCCGGTATTCCATCTTCTGGAGGATGGAGTTGGAATTCAACCAACAACCGGTTTGGTCAGCTCTAAAAGACTAGCGAAGTGCGGATGTGAAAGTCAAAGTGGAACCAACAGATGTTCGTATCAGAAAGCAGGTCTATACCTTGTACTAACTGCGATGGCGAATGTCAAAACCAACGATCCCTATAGTTTGCAGTATCTGTTAAAGCAGCGTCGCGTCTGGTGAGGTAGGGCCATGGTGCCACAGAACCATGGCAATACCTTATTTTTCTGAAAAAAAAGATTCTGTAACCTGATGATACTTTGAAACATTTCTGTGAAAAACATTTCTGTGAAAAACAAAGTAATGCCATGGCTTCATGTACCTTAGTACTACCGCTTCAGCCAGCGCTGATCTATTATAGAAGAAACTTTTTGTGTTTGATAAGACATTCTAATTTTGTTATGCTAAGCAATCATTTTTGATTTTTAACCCCACCTCTATTGGCGGTTTCAAACATGTTATATTAAAATTATTTTAAAATCGAATTAAACTGTAATTTTCAAGGTTACTGAAGGTCATGAATCGTTTTGAAAATATTTTTTTTGAATTCCTTGACCTCAAATTATATAATAAAATGTATAATCATGCCCAAGTGAATTAATTTTGAAATGGAGGAAATTCCCATCCGCCATTTTGAAAAAAAATGCGAGATTGGGAGTCTTGAGGGTCGTAGAGCCTGGCTAGTCGGGTCAGATCTCTTAAAATGAGCTTCCTGACAACTATGCCAAATTTCATACTTGTAACCCAATTTGGCGTTTTTTTTTGTGTAGGCTCTCCACTAAATGTAAAGGCAGCTACTCACTACGTGATATGTACTTGACAAGAGTAATTGACTTGACTGTAGTTTGACAAGTAGGTACTTTGTAGTGAACTGTACACACTATGTGCCAAGTAGCCAATGCTGTATGGAATTCGGGAAGTTCAAGTCATCATGAACGCAAGCTTGTGAATGAATTTGTTGGTGGATTAATAATATTCATGGAGTCCGAGAGTGATAATCGTATTCAAGATGCAGCATTTGTAGTCATATGTTGTGGTTACCTTTTATTATGAAATAAAAAAGTCTAAACAGTTTCTAAATATTGCCATTAACGATTTTTTTTCTTTAAATCCGCAATAGGAATTTCTTCAGAAAGCTCGGCTTGAACACGTTTTCAGGCATCATGGATTTCATTTATATTTTTGTGCAAAGCAAGACAAGAATAGCTTCCCAAATGACAGGATCCTTTGCATAGATATCCAGAAAAAGCAAAACTCTTCCACAACTCGACTCCACTTCAACCACAAACAAAATAATCAAAACTTGTCGCGACTTATACCAAGTAATCTAGCGCTTCAACTTGCCTACTTGCCATAATTTGCTACTCGACTCGCGCCCTTTGACTTGCGACGATTTACCGACAGTCAACGGCAAGTAAAAGTCTCGCCTTGAGCTTGAACATAGGC